TTGTTTGCATTTAAGAACTATTAATCAGATGCACCGATCTCATGTATTTCTTTCAGGGATGGGTTCAGGCTCATCAAAAGCTGAACCTCCGGTGGTTGTCACATCGAAAATACCACTGTTCTGTTTGAAAAAACTTGGTCCTCGACATGTACTGGTTGCAGGAGGAGGCGGTGAATCAAAAACTGGTGTCTTGAACCTAATACAGGTAGAGTTCTTTAAAAATTACTTGTGAATTTTTTCTTGACTTCGTCTGAGGTTACTTTACTCACTCTTAGTATTTCAAGACCTACTTGGCCCTTTTTTTCTCCCCCCCCCCTTTTTCGTGCTTCCCTTTATGAAATGGTAAGGTTGGGAGGTTTGCGATACTCACCCCTTCTCTAACAAAAGGTCCGTTTTCATTATGTACGTTTCATGCAACGACGCTGCGGTGACGGGGGCCAGAGGTCTAATTCTGAAGTGAAGAATTGAGCCAGATTAGGCTTGATGCATTGCATTTTCTTGATGTATCTTATTTCTAATCAGGAAAAGTGTCTACTTTTAAATTAATACTTTAGAGGTGGTATTATCTTTTCAGACGTATCTCTTGACGTTTGAAAACAGAAAGCTTCCCAAATGTTCTACTCCAATGAAAGCCATACTTGTTGACACGGTACTGATTTTCGTTCTTCACAAAGTTCCCTGTAGTTATATTCCTTTTTAAAGATAGATACAGACATATATGCAACGATGAATATGGATGTTGTTTGTTGTTCGAATCCTGAAAAGGGAAGGTATCTCATAGCAGCGGGTCACGGTCAGGTGGGTGACTTTTTCTCAGAATTGATTGTTATAATTCCTTTTGATTTTTTACTTTATTTCATTCATATGTTTTTTTTGTGGTAGTTGTATAATGAACAACGCCTTTTTGTCACCCACCGGTTCTTATCGTACCCACATCGTTCTGCAACCATAACTGCGAGATATTATAGACTTAGATGGAGCCATTTTCCATAGGATATTAAGTGAACTCGAGGTAAGTCCATTTCGTCAAGTTATTTTTTACTGCGTGAGAGCACGTATATATATAGCACTAGTGGGGGGAGAAATTCACATGGAACCTGGGCAGGAAATAAATTCGATAAGAAGGATACAACGAGGAGAAAACCTACCATATGGTTCAGTTGTTCATCTCAAGGAGAACTGAGAATATTAAATTAGAAGAATGGGAAAGGCGTCAATCAATTTCAAACTTCGAATATTAGACGAGCAAAACTAGTAGCTATGAGAAAACAAAAACAGTAAGCGTTTATATTTTGCTTCTATTTTTTGTGGAAATTCCTTTTTTGATAAAGAGTGAATCTTTCACACTTGCATCTCAGTTTTTGACTGCCTTTTCTCACAGAAAGAAAGGTAATCCAACCTTCATTGACCCATTTCACTTGAACACCTTAATTAGTGTTTGACGTAGTCGAATTCTTTCTACATCAAATCAAAATGTTTGCGCACTTGAAATTTTTCCCCAAACGCCATGATGCAGATTTCCATGTCTTCACCAAAACTATTCTAATAATTGGGCGGTGAGGGAACATTGGAACGGGACGGATGTCAGCAAAGATCGTAGTTATTCACTAACAGTCACTTTACTGATGTGTGTTTGAGCTTGAGACTTATTCTGAATTTACTATGGTATGTTTCTTAATCAGAGAAGAGAATTGGTCTCATGAGGTTAAGCAAACACTATTTATTCTTCTCGAAATTTGGCATCCTAAAAAAATCGAAATTCGCCTTATCCAAGGAGGCTGTCCATTGGAACATTTATGTTGGCGCTGCTTATGGTGCTGCTAATGCTTTCGAGTTGAGGTGCTAGCTCTAGGCAGATTCCAGATATTCATTCTCGAGTTCAATTCGATCATTTTGTATGCTATTTGTCTTTCGAATAATAATTTTAGTTTTCTGAAAACAGCATTCCAGTCTTCGTTTTAACCTTTTGAGCATTTATTTCTTTTCACTAGCAATGCTAAAATAATACCGTTATTGCTAACTGAGCTATCGCATGAAATTGATATTCAGATTGTTCTCTGCCAGAGTTAATTACGATACAGTGTTGAATTAACATACAAGTCTTTTTCAGTATTGCGATGTATATGAAACAACGGGTTATGGTGTCGGAAAAGACGATGCCGATGAAGCAGTCTTAAAGTTCAATATTAAGATGGTTGGAAGACTGACTACATCAGAACAGGTGGAATCTTTTCAGGTAGGTTTTACTGGCGCGTTAAGAATTTTCTTGCTTTTTTACAGTATTGTTTTGAGTGACATGTTTGATGTCATTTCCTTTTCGTTCCCCTCTTTTTGACGTGCTCATGGGTTGGATAAGAGTGTGGGCGAGTTCCACCTCTTTCTCATGAAGCTGCACTAGTTTTGTTCGTTAGGTGTAATATGAAAAGCTAGCCATTTACTTTTCCAGTAATGATTCCAATTTACCGATATTTTCCGTTTTCATATCTAGACGTGAAGCTTTCTAGTGTATGTGAAATTTGTTAAAACGAAATGTGGGCTGTGACAGGCGTTATCATGCGGTCATCCACTTGATCATCCGATTTTCAATCCAATAATATTATATTTCGTCAGAAATGCGTGCGATTTGATCGCTCAACAGCCGGTAGACGCGTTGTCACTGGAGGTGAAGATGGGCGAATCCGTGTATGGAATACGCAAGCGCTGGTTGAAGATCGAGTTGGTTGATTTTTTTCCAAATCTTTCATTTCTCCTACCCATACATTTGCTCCAAGTCGCCTAGCATTGAGTCCGCCCTTTATTTTTTTTTAGCTCTTTTGTATCGGCAACAAACATTTTGTCATTTTAGAATCCAGAGGTCATACATAAGCCGCTTGTTGATATTGAAGCTCACAAATCTGATGTCTTCGACATTGACATTGCATCCGATGGACGAATTATCATGTATGTCCTTTTGAATTGAGCCTTCTGCAATCGTAGCTATTCCTGCTTTTTATCACGAAAGTGAATTCGTTCTCTTCAGTTCCGTCGGGCATGATGGTATCGCTAAAATGTGGGATATGAGTCTTGGAACGCTCATTCGGGAAGTTCCACAGCCTTCCGAGTGTGCAACAGGGTACAAGGTGAGTTGATTTGATTGAATTTCCATTTTTATGTTACAAGAAAATGTTTCGTTGATTTGTCTTGGTTTTGCGATAAGCGTTGCTGGTTTCCTTGTTTCTAGATTTTGTCGACTTTCCTTTTCAATTATATTTTAATTACTTTGGTTCACATCATGTATACGAATTTAGGTACGATCGGTTAGATGTACTCCGCTAGGAAATGGTAGTAATCTTGTGTTTGTCGCCGCATACAATGCGATTTCCCTAACTTCGAAGCGAAAATCATTCTTAGCCTTGTGGGCTTACAGTCGAGAAAAACAAGCACTTCGAACAGTTGTTGTGCGAAGCACAGGCCGAGGGGATGTGAGTACTTTCCCTATTGTTCATGTAAACATTTATCGTCGTAATGTGCCGGTAACTCCCAACATCATGTTAAAATCCCCTTCAAAACACCTGCGACGTTTCCTTTTCTATGGAGACTGCCGTAAAAGTTATATGACTGAAACGTGCCGAACACTGCATTTCATAGACTGACTAATCACTAACCCTTGGAAAGAAACCTACTGATACGACATCAAATCGTTTCCTTAAAATTCCGTATTTGATGATAAATTTCCGCACATGTCAAATCAGGGCGACCCATGTGATTACGATAACTTAGTCTCTCAGTCTTTTAACATGTCTTCACCTAAGGAATAGCCCTGGATTTCAATGTATTTTCTCGATGCATTTTCAAATATGTAGAATTTAGGGTGTATCGTCTCTCTGTGTAAGTTCTTGCGGAAACTTCACTGGAGTGGGAAGCATGGGAGGTAGTGTATATATATTCGACACACATGAAATGAAGGAATTGATCGCGTTTAAGGTGTGTTACCTAACTTTTTAGTTATGAGTAACTTCTTTTTTGCTGGGTACTTTGATAGAAATCTAAGTAAAGAATTATTTGATGAGTAATAATACTCTACTTGTGAGACAGTTTCTCTCTTATCCTTCTGTAAATGATTTTTAACAGGAAACTCATGGTATTTTTGTGACCGCAGTAGAATTCCTTGATCGAACTGCATCAGATATTAAATCTCTTGTGCAACAACCTGCTTCCGGTCCTCCTCGCAACGTTCCAGGACCAGGTGCTGTTGCTCGAGCGTCATTGATATCTCTAAGTGCCGACCAAACAATTCAGGTGATTAGTTTTGCATTGAACTTGCGTTTTCCTTTAACTGACTTTAGATTTCTTATGAAGCGTTCATGGTTGGCGATCGTACGTGTGATTGGGCGAGTAGGCGATAAGGGAGGGATACGTATTGATTTGCTGCTTTGCCCATTGTGAGCGCTTGATCGTCTAATCGCGTAATCGCATGTATGATTCCAACTCTGAACGCTTCAGTATGCTAATGATTTTATATTTTAACCCATGAAAAAGCATGCCATAAGCTCTGACGCAAGTCAAAATGCGATAGGGTAATGACAGGGTGTCGTAAGTGAGCCGGGGGTCATAAACGAGGGTCACCACTTATTGTTAGCAATGCATTTGTAGACTTTTTCTAGAGGACTTTCGCTGTACAGGGTTTGTAAAGCCTCACTATCACCGTTTGCAATGTCATTGAGAGGCGGATATGAAGCCTTTGAAACTACCAAGTGAAGATGAAAGGATGTCACGACTATTTGCTAGCTGTTACCTTGATCGAAGAGGATCACACTGATCCTAATCAAGTGTGGCCGTCCCCACGACGCAATCGACGCGGCAAGCCCACCGACTGGCTTAACTACTCGCCGCAGGTCTCTAGCCGTTCAGCAGAGAGCATTAGCGTTGAAGAAGGCAGCATCGATGAGATTAGCATCAAGGCGGAAATCAACGGCTAGGAAAGGG